GTTGGCTCAGTACTTCCTGACTTTCTTGAGCAATAATGCGCACTTCATTGGGGACAAGATGGGATTGCTGCAGGAATTCTTGCATGGGATTTCGAATGACTCTTTGGCATGCGAATTGGATCAAGTGAGACGTGTTCTGGGAGCATGCAGGACTGAAAATTCTCAAAGGGATGAGCTAGTCGCGTCTATGAGAACAGAGGTGGCAAACATGTCAACGCGGATGTCTCGTGTGCTTCAAGACTCCGAGAACTACAGGGCAGAGATCGAGAACTTGAACGCCGCTAGGGGTAGCCTCGAGGCCAACATTGCTCACACCGAACGTGGCCTGATAGAATGTGCCACCCGCAAGGAACAGCTTGAGGGTCTGCTCCGGGATTCGGAATCTATGCTGGAAGCGAGGACCAGGACCGTCCAAGAGTGCAGAGAAACCATTTCGGAACTGAATGAGGACATTGCGATGTTCACATGGAGGCTGGTCATCGAGAACAGCAAGCTGGACGCGGACGACGCCAACGAGACCATCAGGGAAAGGCTGACGCAAGCCCTGGAAGCCGCCAAATCGAACTTGACCTCGATACAGCTGGAATCATTGTTAAGGAACATCACGGACTTTACTGTGTGTGTTGTGTGTGTTGTGTGTGTTTTCGTCCTGTTTCGTTATGATGGTGACAGTTCCGAGTCCCCCCATTTTTCGTGGTGAGACGTGTACTACACGGCGTGTTTCAGTTTATGTAGAGTACTATACTTTTCAGTGTATTTTTCGTACAACTACAGCCATCCAGGGTCACACAGGAGGGGGTAAACACCGTTTTTCTTTTATTCTTTTTCTTTTCATTTTTGTGCCCCACCTGCCTCCTGCGGTGCGTGCTGAATGTTTTTGATTATCGCGAGAAGGGTCCAGCCGTCCCTTCCCCTCATCAACGAACGGTGCTAACGTCGAAGTATGGTATTCACCACGAGCTTTCTAGCTTTTTTCGCTTTAACCCGCAAATGTGTAAATTTTTCACCCCACGGGGATTCGAACTCACGACGTTGCCACTACTAGCGGTTTCGAGGTTAATTTTCACTAGACCACCGAGTGGGGTGACCGGTTTTTACGGTACAATACACACCTGGAAGATAGTAGTATCCGTCAGGCAAAGTCTCCGGAGAAAGTTGAAGTCCTGGGGGCGATTTTCGAGAGGAGCAAGAGCGAGATGTCCGCGATCACAGCTCTTCTAGCGTTGATGCCCTGAAAGAGCTGGAGGATGTTCGGGTTGCATGTTTTTATTACAAAACGTGAGGGGGGCTCACGAGAGATTTCTTTTAAAGGGCGTAAAAACATACATACCAGTATGGTACCAAGGTATTGCATGTACGAAGCTATTTAACGCCGAACGAAGGCTGTGTGTTGCACCCACGGTGCCTGCATTTCTTGATGTCGGTGTTGGAGGATGCACGGAGAAGGGGGATCGTCGCAATTATAGTCAGGCGTAGTTTCGTCGACACTGAATATTAAGACAACAAGCGATATATAGTTCCAATGGCTTTTGGAGAATCCATAAATGGTGCAAGGCGCTCGATGGCAACCAGCATGAGAGATGTGTCACCGTTCTGCGCAGTCTGAAAGTCATGTCCTCTGAAGCAGTCTAGGCCTTCATCACGGGAAACATGCCTAACAGTCGGCGCAATTGCGGCAGGTATTTTCTCCATGTCGCATCCACAGTAGAATTCTTGAAAAACAGGCTCCCCGTGCCAGTTACTATTTTTCTCAGCGCCGTCAGTGGCCGATGATCGGCGACGCTTAAAGCTAGTCTAGTCAAGCCAGCCACCGCGTTATTAATGGTCAGCTGTTGATGCTCCTCGATAGCGTTGGTGCAGAAGGTGTTCCACGTTTTCCTGAGACACTCTGCGGTGGACAGGGTGGAATATCACCCCGACACTCACTCTTGGTGCTGCTGAAAATACTGCTCGTATAATCTCGAGCAGCCAGCGAACTTCGGTTACGGAACGAAAACCGAAGGAGGCGTCGGTAACGGAAAAACATGTTGAAAAATGAACCGCCACCGAATACCGTGGAGCGATTGAGTCGGTAGCACCTTTTGAGAGTACCATGCCTGCCTACAGTAAGTACCTCGGACGCGGAGTGATCAGACCCCGACGCCGGCCCCGGCGCCCGCCCCTGCGTCGGCGGCGGCGCGTTCATCGCAAGCTCCTTTGACGCCGCCGGAGCGTCCCCCTCCGCCCCCTCCGATGGCTCATTCAATTTTGGTTTCCGAGGACATCCTTCTCCGGGAGCTGCCGTGTATCGCGCCTGTGCCCGGGGCTGAGCCGCTCTTGGAGCTGACGGGTGTCTTTGACCAGCACCGGTTGGCCTTCGACCAGGACGACCGTCAGGCTGTCACGTTCCGGCTGGAGGCCGTCTTGGTGACCCTCGACTGGGGTGCGTTTGGTGGTGCACGATTTTTATGCTGATTTCCTGTGGGCCTGTGGGCCTGTGGGCCTAGACTATGGGCCCGTGGGCGAATTCTTCTCGTACAAAGACCAGGATGGATTTTGGTGGCTGGACAAGATCTCTGGACCGACTCTCCGGGCCAACCACTGCATCGTCCGCTTCCTCGACGAACTTGGGCCGATCAAGATCGCCTTCTCCGATGTTCGTTTTCCTACCATCGAATCGGCCGTCTGCGAATCATGGTTTCTTAAGTTCACGGCGGTAGCGATCTTCTTACGAATGGAATTCTTCGTACTGTAGTAGTTTTGATATATTGAGAGGCGCAAAGAAAGGCGGATGGTTCGTTGCCCGATGATTCTGCGTGCGCCGACTATAGCAACAGGGTGCTCGGTGGCATTGTGTTTTTTTTGTGTGTTGTTTCCGTCGAGATTCGACCTGCTTCGTGGTCTGTGGTGGCCGCTTTCAAGTTGGTTGCAACCCCGGCCTACATAGTCCGTTTTATTGCCACTGGTACGTCGTTTTGTCGTTCGAGTTTTCTCTGCTGCAGCGGTGTATGTAGTCTAGAGCTGTTTGTGTTCCGACCCCGTTCCCTCCGACGTCATTACGATCGGATTGTTGCTGATTGGTGTGTTGTTTGGTTCTACGTGTTTCTTCTTCTTCTTCTGTCGTTTCGACGACTGGCTCTCCTTCTATCTACGTGTTCTCATGTCTCACGTCTGGTCCCTTCACTACAATAGGTTATGTGTGAACCTGGACATACATGATTCCGTTCGCGGTTGGTCAGTGTTGTAAGTGTTGCTCTTCAAAAGAGATGTCCACGTGCATGGGTCTGTTTGGTGCATACGGGCGAGATGCTACTGGCGACACGATGGTAAAGCTTCAGAGAGACCAGGAGTATAAGAGTCTCAAACAGATTAGAACATTTCTCCAAGCCGTAGTGGTGGAGACGGCGAGAGTTGGAAGCCAAAGAGGCGCGACAAGCGCGCGGGTAAACACGCGGTGGAACCAACGCGGGACTGTCAGAATAGGTCCCGAGCGGCCAGCGGGGGAACTTTGACGGCAATGATTTCGCAAGACTAGACTAAGCTTCTCAGCAAACAGGGCACCAAGGAACCAAGGAGCCTCTCCAATCTCCGCTTGCGCGATCTCTTCAAAACGCCGATAGCGGCAACTGCCTCCTTTGACAGTGACATGCAACCTCTGGCGTTTTCCGTTAACCACGAAACGTGTTGTGTTGTGGTGATTGCGGTACACGCGACAAATTCTCCGACATCGCCTGATATCACCTGGTGGTATGGATTGGGGACCGGTTGTCAGCGTGCTTTCCCGTCTTAATTTACGCGTGTGTCCGTGGGCGCACCTGCGACACCCTGTCGTTGTGTGGGTGCTTCCACTGCGCCTGTAGACCGAAGAGATGAGGTTTTCACCCCTGGACAAACGAAAAGACTGGACTTGAAAAACGAGCTGTTATAATAGTTCACCGTCAGTGTCACATCTCGACGACACAAACACTTCAGAGCGGATAATCAGCTGACACGCCCACGATTCCATCGCTGCTTTCTCGCTTTCTACGCTTTCCGTAGGTTTCACTCTGAACGCCACGGCCACACAGCAGTAGGTCGAAAACGTACTCGGGAAGAGAAGAAAGCGAAAAGAACAAAATTGCGACCACAAAAAATGCCAGACTGTGGGCCGAACAGACTGGCGACGACCAAAACTCAACAGCAAAACACACACCACGAGTGCCAACAAAGAGAAAGGAAATACACCCCGCACCCGATACCGATAGCCTTCCTCCACCCGCCCTCAAAAGTACACAAGACAACAAAAACACGCCAACACAACACTAAGAACAACAAACCCCCACGACAACAACATGGCTGCTGTCGCCGCTAAAACTACTGACAGCAGCGTACGTACACATCTCGAGGCATCCATCTATATATGTAGCGTCGCCTCAGCACAACATTTCACCGCGACAGAAACTGAACACCTTTGGGTGCTGGATATGCATGACGATGACGGCGTTCCCCCCCCCATGGCCGACCGACAGAAGGATCGAAGCGGACTAAATCGGAAGCCCTTCTTTCGCGGCCTAGGGCCGGCACTCAAGGCCGGGAGGGAGCCGCCTCCGCCGCCGGCGTTACACAGAACAACGAAAACAAAACTTCTGGACTACTTGGTTCATCGTCTAAATCCGATCTCTCTCTCTCTCTCTCTCTCTCTCTCTCTCTCTCTCTCTTTCTGATCACTGCCCTCTGCCTCTCGAAGCGTTTAGCACCAGCGCAAAGAAATGAAACCAAGCGCAGCAGCAGCAGCAGCAGCAGCAGCAGCAGCAGCAGCAGCACGGGCAGTCGTCCACGTACAAAGATCTTACGTTTGGGATCGAAAAGCAACACCGACCCCGTCCCCCCTCCCCTCCCCTTCGGCCAGTCGTACATAGGGATACGAGGGTCTATGGTCTAATCCACCACTCCGGCCATGCGTGGCAACGACTACACCCGCAAACCCTGCGCTTTCCCTGGAACCAGGAAGCAGACCGATCAACGTTTCGATCGCAAACCCTTACGGCCGACGCAGAGAAAAAAGTGGTGTCACGCCGTCCATCTCTCCCTCGAACAACGCCTCCTCCGCAGATCGGAGAAAGGAAAACCTATCAACGCCTCGTGGTTCCGAGCGTAGCCCTCCCGGATCACGCGTGAACGGTTTCTATGTTCACATCGTCATCAGCGTATTCAAAGGGGCCTAACGGTTCCCTCACACTTCCGTGCGACAGGAGAACAGCTTGCATTCTACACGACAGCATGTTTTTTTGTTTTATTTCACCAATCAAAATCTTTAGCGTTTGACGCCACACGCATCACCCTCTGCCTCTGTTCTCTCTGGCGCGCACTCGCACACACAGTCAGACTCTGTGGGCACACCAAGCCAGCGAGAGTATCCAACACCAGTATGCTACGTCCCTCCTCTGGATTGACTATTTTCCACATTCTCTCTCCTCGCGGATGGGCTGCGGGGCCCGGATGCAGGCGACAACGACTCTTGACACGCTCGCCCCCCCGCTCCCTCCCTTGCCGCTATCCCGTTCGCTCCGTAGTGCCTGCCCGTTCATTGGGTGTGTGCGAAATCAACGACCATCAGCAGCAGCAGCAGCAGCAGCAGCAGCAGCGACACCTGTGTTCCCGGGCGTCGCCGCCATTGCCCCTGCTCTCGCCACGTATCCTGCGCTGTTGTTGTCGTCAGGGCTGGGATCAGCTTGCTGGGCCTTCTCCGGGGGAAACA